ATATCAACAGTGCAAACTATTAAATGTCAATGTAATATTATATATTTTTAATATAATTATTTTCGTTAATATCATTCTCAGAAGTGTGAGAAGTTTGTTTGGATCTTTATACGTAAATGTTAGCAATTTAACTCCTTTACATATATTTAAAAATAAATCATTGCAATATCACAGAATCTAAAATAAAATATTTTGGAATTTGTTTCAGGCTGAAATTATTTTTACCAAATAATATTATATACATCGACAAATAGAAATTAACGGGACCCATATAAGACAATATTTTGATGCTATACATAACATACCTACTAACTAATTTATCTAAAAATATTCAAAGTACCTAACGGACATTTTTGTAATTTTACCAGCCATTCTGATCCCGTCTATAAAATAAGCTATTAGGTATTTAGTGTTTTCCAATAGTTACGGTTCTAGTCATCCTATATAACTCAAGTAATTACACACACTGAAAGAACTTTGAAGCTTACTATATTGCTGATATTTAACCTGATAGTAACACAACTATTAATTAATTATAAGAATATAACAGTAAAGAAATATACGATAAGTTTTTTTATTATTTTTTATCAATAATGACATTAAATATTTTAGATAGAGATAATTCACTTCTTTAATAAATACTTATAAGAAATCTCATCTACTATGGTATCTATAATTCATCCTTGATTATAATATTTCAAGAATTAAAATGTTCTTATTCCATATCTGTTAATGTCTTTCAAACACATTTAGGAAATCACTCGCTTTATGAGCGATTGAGAACGAATTTGTCGTTTTGAAATATAATTATGATAATTGCTGACTTATATTGCATTACTATAAACATTCTGTATGAAATAAGACGAATACGAGTATATTAAATTATTTCATCGCTTTTAAGTAGATTGTCAAAAGGTTGTGATTTTATTTATATTCGTGCCTGTAATTACTGTCAACAGGATATATTAATAGTCATTACTTAAACTGCTTGGTAAATTTATTAAATTAACTAGCGACCTGGCCCGGCTTCGCACGGGTGCAATGCTGATGCTAAATACATTACAAAAAAACTGTGAACTTTATAATGGATGTTATTATACATATAGCGGCTTCGCACGGGAACTTAACATGACAATTACACAAATATTCACAATTTTATGCGCCAATTAAAAAAAAATAGGAAATTTAATTCTTATATATTATTTCGCTATCTTAATCCCCCTCCCCTGCCTCCGTGCTCGAGTGACGGCTACAACTCTGCAACGCATAGTTAGCCGCCGAGTGAATATTTTTAAAAATTTTTAACTCGTGATATCTTTTGAGTGGAATGTCAGAATCTAATAATTCAAAAGTTATATAAAGGTTTTGAAACGATCTTAAATAATAAATCATTTATTTTGATAAGGATTAATACTAAGGTACAAATAAAGAACCTTTTCAAGCAGTGGTATTTTAATAAATTATTTTTATACTAGCGGCCCGCCCCGGCTTCGCACGGGTACATACACACACACACCCTTCTTTTTTGCGTCGGGTTTTTAAAAAAAAGTAAAATTATAAAGGAAGTTTGATTTTTTTTATTAATATAGATTTTTTCAAATTTTTTATTAATGTAATCATATTATGTACAAAACAAAAACCATTAGTTTTAGTGAGTCAGAGCTTCCCTGTAAACGATATTTGAGGTAGTTTTATTTTGTGGCAGCAAAATAAATTGATTTTCAGGAGCTCCGACACGTGATAGGCCAACATACAGTTGGCCATGAGTAAAACATTCTTTTCGTAGGTCGGTCCCTAATAATTCGAAGGTTTGGCCTTGGGACTTGTTAATAGTTAATGCGAAAGATGGTTTGACCGGAAACTGAAGTCGTTTAAAAGGGATTGGCAGATCAGTTGGGATCATCGGTATATGAGCTAGGTGACCAGCTGCTGGGCCAGTGATAAACATGATGTTCCTAGGTTCAGTGGTTAAAATTTTGTATACAAAAAGTTTAGCTTCGTAGTTCCCGTTCTGTTCCGTTCGAATTTCGAGAATTCCGTGTGTAGAATTTCACGCCCACGGTGGTAAAGATAACAAACGATTTTAAATTTTGAAAACGCTAGAACAAATTGTTTTTTCTCATCAAGTTCCTAAATATAAATTAAATCATGTTTTTATCCCCAAAAATGACAAAATCCCATACAATTTTTCAACCTTTATTTCATTCCCTCACTGGTCGAAATTTTGAAAAACGCTAAAACAAATGTATAAATATATCCTATCAAGTGCTTAAATATAAAGTTTGATGGTTTTATCTTCTAAAATTAAGAAATCCCATACAAACTTTCAACCCTTATTTCACCCCCTCTCTGGTCGAAATTTCAAAAACGCTAGAACAATTGTTTAAATATATCCTGTCAAGTGCTTAAATATAAAGTTTCATGATTTTATCTTTTAAAATTAAAAATACCGTACAAACTTTCAACCCCTATTTCAACCTCTTCATCCCCTTTTTCGCAATAAAAGGTAGCCTATATTTTTTCTCAGGGTCTAAAGTTTGTCTGTATCAAATTTCATCAATATCGTTTGATAGGTTTAAGAGGGAAAGCATAACAGACAGACAGAGTTACTTTCGCATTTATAATATTAGTTGGGATTGCCTCCTCCCCCCCCCCCCCGTACCCCAGTGACGCTTACATGGAGCCTACATCGCATGCTGGCTAGCTGAGCGCGATGAGCGTCAACCACGCGACTTTTTTATAATACTTGCATTTTTAAACTTGTGATATCTTCCGAATGAAATGCCCGAATTGAATAATTCAAAAAGTTATAAAAAGGTATTAAAGCCGTCTTGAATATAAAGTAATTTATTTTGATAAGGATTAATACCAAGGTACAAATAAAGAGCCTTTTCAAGCGGCGGCAAATAAATAAAATTTTTAGTATAAAAAACCGCTTACTGTGACATAACTATAATATTTAGACATATACTCTCGAGACACTCTTTGTAGATAATGATGAGTTCTACAAAGTCGTAGTAAATGATTTTGTTCTATTATCAATAGTTTTCACAGCGCACGCGACGTAAGGAATTTTTCATATCATTTTTTTATACCTTGGGTTACATTATTGGAGTTATAGTAAGGGTCCCTAATTTTTTTTAAATATAATATAGCCCATATTACTCGGAAATAATGTAGCTTTCCAAAGGTGAAAGAATTTTTAAAATCGGTCCAGTAGTTTCGGAGCCTATTCATAACAAATGAACAAACAAATCTTTCCTCTTTATTAATTATAGCCCATATTACTCGGAAATAATGTAGCTTTCCAAAGGTGAAAGAATTTTTAAAATCGGTCCAGTAGTTTCGGAGCCTATTCATAACAAATGAACAAACAAATCTTTCCTCTTTATTAATTATAGCCCATATTACTCGGAAATAATGTAGCTTTCTAAAGGTGAAAGAATTTTTAAAATCGGTCCAGTAGTTTCGGAGCCTATTCATAACAAATGAACAAACAAATCTTTCCTCTTTATTAATTATAGCCCATATTACTCGGAAATAATGTAGCTTTCCAAAGGTGAAAGAATTTTTAAAATCGGTCCAGTAGTTTCGGAGCCTATTCATAACAAATGAACAAACAAATCTTTCCTCTTTATTAATTATAGCCCATATTACTCGGAAATAATGTAGCTTTCTAAAGGTGAAAGAATTTTTAAAATCGGTCCAGTAGTTTCGGAGCCTATTCATAACAAATAAACAAACAAATCTTTCCTCTTTATTAATTATAGCCCATATTACTCGGAAATAATGTAGCTTTCCAAAGGTGAAAGAATTTTTAAAATCGGTCCAGTAGTTTCGGAGCCTATTCATAACAAATAAACAAATCTTTCCTCTTTATTAATATATATAGATATAGATAGATAAAAAATCGCTTATTGTGACAAAACTATAATATTTAGCGATGATGTCACGACGTTCTTTGTAGTTAATGATTCAGTTCTACAAAAAGTTCTACAAAATTGCAGTACATCACTTTGTTATACCTTCAATCGTTTTTGGAGCGATCGCGATTAAAGAAAGTTTTTGGGTATATTTTTTACATTATCAGAGTTTTAGTAAGGAACCCAACTTTTTTTAAAAACTAAATATAGCCTGTCATTCCGGGGTAGTATAGCTTTCCAACGGTGAAAGAATTTTTTAAATCGGTACAGTAGTTTCGGAGCCTATTCGAGACTAAAAAACAAAAAATCAAAACCGGAAAGGTTTGTCTTTATAATATACGTACCTACTACTACTTCACTTATAAAGTAATAAAATGAAAACTTATAATATATTTAAACACTACCAAAACTTATAATACTTGTTATATAAAAAAACAACAAAGCAAAACTAAAAATAAACTATTCAAAGACTAAAAGTCGCGCTGATAAGCACGGTTTGCAAAATAACAATTATTGTGTGTCAATAAGGTCTAAAAGTCTGAACGTCTATTCGCATCAACAGCCAAATAAGTTTAAATCTCCCGCCGCGACGCGCGTCGAGCGCGGCAACCGATACACAAAAATAATCCTTATAGCATGACTCAGTATTTACGCGCGACGACCTATTATTTCATGTATAACTTTGGTGTTTCTACACCGACTTACAAGATTATTTTTTTTATTGAATAGGTAATAATGTTACCTTATTAAATTAGGTATGAGTGATAACCTATAAGCCTGCACACGCGACGGAAGCTTAAAAAATGGAGTAACTTCTCTGGAATAATTGTCCTAAATTTCATTAAAATCCGCGACTAGTTTTTGTTTCGATAACGAATATACAGACAGACAGACAAAAAAATTTTACTGATTGCATTTTTGGCATCAGTAGCGATCTCTAACCACCCCTTGATAGTTATTTTTTAAATATATTTTATGTGCAGAATTGATCGCTCTACAGATTTATTATAAGTATAGATAGATAGATAATAAAATTTGTTACAACAACAAATAAACAAAGAACTCTTACCTCAACTATTATGTGATATACATGCTGTGTTTCTTACCTGTCATAGAAAGAAATATGTAAATTAATATTAATGTACTGAAATAGTAAAAAAATTCAATTAGCATATTTAGCATATTTCTTTGGATCTAGATATAACAAAATTTTCACACTGTAGATTCATTATCTTTGGATGAAAGATTTCACCATGAAAGAATTTCACCCCCTAGTTGAATAAATAGTAATACGACGGTATAAGGTCCGAACTAAATGCTGAATTTGGTGATAGTTCAATACTACCAATTTTCTTAACTACCAATTTTCTTGGCTAACAAAATATACATATTTAGTCAAAATGCACTCTGTACCACGGTATTAATAGTTCGACTACCTGTAATAATTTCAAAGTAACCTAAATCTTTATAATTCACACAACAAGACTTTCTAATCAAACCCACTTTTCTTGGGTTCTGGTAATTGTCTTTTTTCTAACCAACAATGGGCTTTATAAAAACGATTATCTTTCGGTAGGGCAACAAACACGTATTCAACGTAATGCATGTGGCACTATTTGACAACTTTTGTAGGTCTCAACTATTCAACTTAAAATGTTCGTGGAGGTTCAGGAAAGGTATAAAAGCTGAAAAAACTTGATTCACTTCTGGGAAAACCCTATAAACAGCCCTTTTCTATTTCCCATACAAACGTTTTTTTTTAAGTTAGATTTGACAACTAACTAATATGTCAATCATTCTGTTCGATTGAAACAGGAAAAATTTAATAAATACCTATACCTGGTTATTTAAGACGGAATAGAGTTCGCTCGGTTAGCTATACATATATTACTAATGACGAAATTAACGCGGACGAAGTCGCGGGCAAAAACTAGTTTGTCATAAAAACCTACTGTCGTCGAACGAAGAGAGAATCATTAAAAGTAAATTAAATAATTATTATCTTCATAGAACTGGAGATGAGTCATAACAAGTTACTACATAATTAAATTAAAGCATGTTTGAAGAATTTATTAACCATTTCATCATAAAGTAAAATATTCAAAGTTATTAACTACGTTGGCTATTTACATGTATATAAGTTTATAGGTAATATCCATATAAGATTTCCTGGTATATTATATGAAATCTATTTTTTTGCAGTTCCCTTGGCATAATTACTCTAGCAGTATCTTTACACTGACACTCTTAGGGACTAAAGCTATGAAGCTATGTATTTCATTGCTCAGAGTATACCTTCATAAGCATAATTATTCCGGTAATACCAGTTATAATCTAATTTCAATGTTCCAAGTTATAAAATTTTGTAATTCATGTGACTTTAATGTGTTATATCAATAATGGAATAGTCTAAAACTGCAATTACTTTGCTTTTCTTTGGCAATTGGGAGTAACTATCTTCTTCATGCTTATTTCATTGTTTCGTTTACACTTTATTAAATTGTAAGTAGCTTCCAAATTTAAAGGTTGGATAAAATATGAATATTTCTTCATCTTACATCAAAATAAAAGACTCAAAAGCTAATATTAAATATCTATCATAATTTGTATAGAAACGTGTATAAGAGTAAGAAATGGGAAATATGATAGCGGATGATGTAATTAAGATAACAATAAGAGCTTAACATTTTATGGTTTTATTAAGACTACTAGCTTTCCGGCGGCAGCTTCGCCCGCGTGGAGTTCGGTTATTTCGCGTTTCCAAGAGAACCTTTCAAAAGTCTGGGATAAAAACTATCCTATGTTCTTTCTCAAGGACAACTCTGTCTGTACCAAATTTCATTATAACAGTTCAGTGGTTTAGGCGTGAAAGCGTAACAGACAGACAGACACACAGAGTTACTTTCGCATTTATAATATTAGTAGGGATATATACTGACATATTGATTTTTTTTAAAACAATCAGTGCGCACACCTTGCGCAATACTAACAGTTTAAGTAGTAACGTCGATAACTAAAGAAACTTGAAGAAAAAGTTAAACATCCAAAGAGTCTTTACAGTCAATTAAACAAATGACTTTATAATTTGATATCAGTTGCTATCTCTAACATATATGTATACTACAATTTATTTAGTTTTAAAATGTTTTAAATACAATTCCATTGCTATTTACCTTGCGTTTTCCCAGCTTTAGCCAGGGTCTGCCTTACATTCTGTGAATAGTTTTGGCTTATTGTTTTTACGACCAGCCGCCTGCCTGACATCAACCCTATTTGGGAAACAATTCCATTGCCATAAATCTTTATATATATAATTATTCTGTGAGTGTGTATGTCACTGAACTTCTCTCAAACGACTGGACCGATTTTGAAAAAAAATTTTTGTATGTGTTCAAGGGGATCTGGGAATGGTTTAGATTCACAATTTTGTCCGCTGGACAATGTTTTTTGACTAATATGTATGTCAATCATTCTGTCGCACTTCGAATCACGGAGATGTATGGCTTTAATAGGTAAAAACCAAAAATATAAAAAAAAAACGTAACAGATATTTCTTGATTATAGGGCGATACGAAGTTCGCCGGGTCTTCTAGTGTATATATATATTTTTCTTATGTATGTATATACACTCACAGTCTGTTATGTGCCTCGATGGCCTGGTGTGACTGTTCCCTCTCTTGTTGGTTCCGTAACACGAGTGGTCCAAATTCAGAGGTCCGACTGTAATGATACATACATACTTAATATATACTAGTTTGTAATATAACTCAAATACATGATAATATATATATGATGATAATTTTTTTGACTTATATTTTTAACAAATTATATTCATATATAGATTACTACTACTTGCCATATGATGGACAAAAACTAGCACAGGGTAAAAACTACCAAAAGCTAGATATTTTCTCCAAAATTTTGTTAAAATGAATCCTGCACGGACCAGTCAATTTGAGTTTAACATCATCTAAATAACAATACCCTATTACTGTCAGGAAAATATTGACCAGCGCCACTTGATGATTATAACTATTTTATATATTTAAAAAAAAAGTACAATTCTTTGGAATATATCACATAATTGTTTCATATATATCAATCTTATTATCTGAACATCCTGTATATATTTAAAGACATGTTTACCTCCAATTAGTGGTCTGAGATACACGAGGTATGGCGCGGAGTCAGTGTTGAAAGGGAAGGCGCCCGACGACCCGCCCCCATATACTAACACGATCCATCCACATTCATCGAGAGGACGAGCGTTGGCTAAAGAAATATAAGAAGATTATATTATATAATAATACTATTAAAAAACATATATTTGATACTAATATTAGTATAATGTAGTGGTCAACGCAATCCTACTAATATTAAAATTGCGAAAGTTTGTGAGCGTGTGTGTATGTTTGTTGCTTCTTCACGCTCAAACGGCTGAAACGATTTTGATAAAATTTTGTATACAAGAAGCTGACGTCCAGAAATAACATATAGGCTACTTTACATTTCGGAAATCCGCGGGTTACACTCCGGGGCGCAGCTAGTATATAAACAAAAGTAAATAGGTCACATAGGTTAGAACGAGATGGCGTTGCATCCGAGATAGATCGCGGTACTAAATTTACGAACCGATTTGGTTAGGGTCATTCATATTTATATTATAGTTAGTTGATCACATATATACTTTCGCTAGATCAGTATACGGTGTGGTATTATTTATATAACACCTTCAGTATACACAAAACCTGTGCAAGTGAATAGTGTGTGTGAAATTAGCCCATAGATCAAAGAAGTGGCGAATAATTAGATAGGTAATTAGAGACCCTTTAAACCTACACCTGGGTCACAAGTCACAGTCACTCTTGAAGCTCCTCTCACTACAACGATGGACCCGACACACGCACCGTGAATATATTGAATGATGAGGAATTTCGTCAGTATCATAGTCGATGTAACTCACGTAAATTGATAGTCTGCACCCAGTCCCCGGACTCGATCTCGTACACATCGATGTGAGACGTCGTGAAGATCAACAGGTGAGTGTCGTTGATAGCTGGAATGATTACATAAAAACTTTAATATACTATAAAAATAGTGGAATATTTTTTTTATTATTTTTCAATGATAATAGAGGTAACGTTAATCAACGTTCTCTTTCTGTCCGTCAAAAAAAAAACTTCAGATAAGTCATCCATATACGTCACACGGTTTTTAGGATTTTTGAACCCTCCACTTCTTGTCACAGGTTGTCTCATTTTTATAACCGCTTTCTAATGTGAATTCAAATATTTTTAAATTTACGTATGTATTTAAAAAATCATATTTTTTTTTAATTTTTCAATTCACATTCCAATGACGTTTTAGTATTTCAAATTGTAATACGTGACGTTACAAAACTATCGCTCCCTTTGGCCCCAGTTATACGAAATCACGCTTCGGTGATACCCTCCACTAAATTGTGAAATGGGTGTCACCTAATATGTCTTAATTAATTATATAACAAGGCATAAAACATAATAATTCTATATCTACATATCTACACATCTACATATTATACATCATCATCAGCCAATCAGAGCCCACTGCTGAGCACTTCTCACATGAAAATTAGAGCATTAATCACCACGCTTGATCAATATATGTATGTATATTACCGTAGTGTTGCGGATGCGCGGTGTACATGAGCTCGGTGTCCCTCGCTCTAAGGCCCGCTCGGTCCACGTACAGCGCTAAGGCCGTGAATTCGAGCAGCCAATCGCTGCCTGCAGGCCTCCCGCATAGTGGACGCGCGCCAGAATTGGAGAGGAATACGCCTACTTGGTTCTCTGGATGAACTAATGCTGAAAACAGAACATATATATATATTTATTATTTGAAAGGTCTACTAGTCAGTGGTGGTCTAATGGTTAAAAAGCCCGCCTCTCATGCACGAAGGCGCGGGTTCGATCCTGGCAAGTACCAATGTGATTTTTCAGAGTCATATGTACTTACTACTGTCTAAGAGTATTTAGACATCACTGATGCATTACATTCCCAAAGAGGGTTGATGTCAGGCAGGCGGCTGGTCGTAAAAACAAATAGCCAAACTATTCATAACCTGTAAGGCAGACCCTGGCTATAGCTTGGAAATTGCCAGGTAGAAGAAAGGCCTACTTGATGGGCAGCTGTTACTGTCACTCATGGACATATCCGCAACAGAGACGTTGCGGATTCATTGCCACCCTTTGTTTTTTTGGAATAGGGAAGAATGGGCATGAGGGAGTGTCAGGAAAAGGTGGGAATAGAGTAAGGGCAACCGGCTCTCTCACTCAACGAACGAAATGCAGCCATTAAAGGCTACTTCACACCGATCTTCTGTGAGAGATTGGTACTTCCCCGATTGAGTCAGCCCATTTTCGAGCTGTAGTAACTTGACCACAGCTAGGCTCTACCACCTCTAAAAATATATGTATAGTAGCTAACCCGGCAGACTTCTTACTGCCTGAATCGAGAAATAAATCTTTCTTATTTATTGTTTTGGAGTTTAGCCTTAAGCCATAAATCTCACACATATTAGTTAGTTGTCAAATCTAATGTCAAAAAAACGTTTGTATTGGAAATAGAAAAGCGCCGTTTTTAGAGTTTTCCCGGAAATTAATCTTTTTTTTTCACCTTTTTAACCTTCCCTGAATCTCCACGCACATTTCAAGACTAAGATAAGATAAATCCGTTCAGCCGTTCTCGAGTTTTAGTGAGACTAACGCACAGCAATTAATTTTTATATACAGGGTGACTGGTGAATTACTATCAATATTTAATGAGAATACTCGGTACATGATTCTCATTCGAATTATGTAAAAAAAATAGGTACTTAATTTGTGACCAAATTTCCGTATAAATAAATAAAGTGTGGACACGTTCTAAGTGTTCCAAGTGTGGACGCGTGCGGCGGCGTGCTGATACAACACCACGCCGCCGCACGCGTGTGTGTGTGTGTGTGTGTATATACCTAATCTGTAGGGTGTTCACACGATGCGTAATTAATTACATAACTTTTGGTTAACTTTACTTAGAAGTTTATTAATATTTATGTTATACTAGTTTTTGCCCGCGACTTCGTCCGCGTTAGTTTGGTCAAGAGTAATATATGTATGTATAGCTGACCAGTCGAACTCTATTCCGTCTTGCAGGCCATAAATAATCAGGTTTTTCCTGTTTCAATCAAACAGAATTGACATATTAGTTAGTTGTCAAATCTAATGTCAAAAAAAACTTTTGTATGGGAAATAGAAAAGGGCTGTTTTTATGGTTTTCCCAGTAATGAATCAATTTTTCTCACCTTTTAAACCTTCCCTGGACTTCCAGGAGTATTTAAAGACTAAAATTAGCCAAATCGGTTCAGCCGTTCTCGAGCTTTAGCGAGACTAAGGAACAGCAATCCATTTTTATATATATAGAAGATTAATTTTTATTTTGTCATATATTATCGTCAAATATCACGTCCTCAAGTATCGATAGTAATTCACCAGTCACCCTGTATATAGATAGATAGATAGATTATGCTGATTTAGATAGTATTTGTATATACCCTACCTTTAGACATTGATTAAAACACATATTTTTCTTAGCACCCTTCAAAATTGTTGTCTATTTTGTATTACACATCAAAATAATACAATTCTATTATAATTTAGCTTTGGATTTTTTTTCCAAAAACTTGATAATTTAACATTTTAAATCAAATAGTTTCTTTTAAATTTAGAAAAATTATTTATTTATTTTATTTAACAATTTTTTAAAGATGCCAGAAACATTAAGGACAAAAAAGATATTACACAGGAAAAATAAGTTTAAAAGGTATACTTATCCCTAGAAGGGATTTCTTCAAGTATACCCAGGAAGGAAGAAGTGTAGACAGAGAACTTAAGGTAGACAGGCAAAATCGAACACAAGGAGAAAAGATACAACAAAAAAAAACATAAACTTATACTAAACAAGAAGAAAATAATAATAATAATAATAATAATAACAAAAAAAAATTAATTTTACTTAAAAATATATATTACAAAAATAATTATACATACATATATAATATATAAATACATAAATAAATAAATATGTCTATGCCATTTTATCACGAATCAATATTTGGATAGGAAGTACTCTTTCAGTTTATTTTTGAAAGTGTAGATGGACTTACAAGTGCGAATTGTTACCGGCAGCAAATTCCACAGTCTCGCTGCATTGACAGAGAAAGAGTTTGAGTAGAAATTAGAAGTATGGGATGGGATACGGAGTAATAACTGGACATTGGGGCGACAAGGGGAACCAGGGGGATGCAAGAATACAAAACGCTCACGAAGGTAAGTCGGGTACAGGGGATTAAATAGGATGTTGTAAAGAAGACATGAGACGTGAGTATCCCTGAGAAGTCTTACGGGAAGCCACTTGAGTTCAGCTCGAAATTTGGAGATATGGCTGGAGATATGATAAAAATTATCATTGTAGTTGGTTTTTAAATAATGATAATATTTTTACCTTTTGTAATGAAATACAAATTCAATGTGTATTAAATATCCAAAACCCAGATTATTTGAAAGAAATCCAAAAACATTTGTTTTTTAAGATTTTTGAATTGAAAATCTATACTTTATATTTTTTATGGATTATAAATAGAAAGTATTAAGTATAAATAGTACAAGATCATTGTAAAAAAGAGTACTATATTCTGAGTGTTTTATAATTTATATGTTATAATTATTTGATTTTTAATGTTGCGGTAAACTTAAATAAATAATTAATTTCATGCCGAAAAATAGGATTCCTCTCGTTCTATAAATTAATCTCTAAGACTTTTGTAACAAAATTCTTAATTTTATGTATGTACTGACACTTTTATATTGTTGGACTTATCACTTAAGAGAAATAAGAATTTTACATATAGTACAATGTTTTATTTCTACGGATCAACTAAATATGTATACAATACCTGGTGCTTTAACAATTGAGTGAATACTAATTATAGGATTGTGTTTAAATAAAAGTGTTATTTGACTTATAAAAATCATTCTAAATATCTTCTGTAACAATTATTTGCAGTTCTAGAATTGATGTTACTTATATTAATAAATTAAATGCCAGCATTGAGACTGTCTTATAATTAATATAATTCAATGCTTTTATATATTTATCTATTTTTTATTTACGAGTCATAGCTTTAAATCATTATTTTTTATTATTACTTGATAAAATGTTTTTTTTTTTAATATGTTGCGTCTTGAGTTTTTGTATATAATTTATCCAATACTAGAAGACCTGGCGAACTTCGTATCGCCCTATAATTAAGAAATATCTATTACGTTTTTTTATTTATATTTTTGGAGTTTACCTATAAGCCATAAATTTCGGTGTTTTGAAGTGCGACAGAATGATTGACATATTAGTTAGTTGTCAAATATAATGTCAAAAAAAACGTTTGTATGGGAAATAGAAAAGGGCTGTTTTTATGGTTTTCCCAGTAACAAATCAATTTTTTTCAGCTTATACCTTCCCTGAACCTCCACGAACATTTCAAGACTAAGATAAGATAAATCCGTTCAGCTGTTCTCGAGTTTTAGCGAGACTAAGGAACAGCAATCCATTTTTATATATAGAAGAAGATTTGAAAAAAATAAATGAATAAAATTAAAAATAATATAGATTATATTCTAGCGACATCTATCGAAAGAAATTGAAGTTTCATGCAATTAACTCACGCAAAAATATAGCAGATGGCGCTAACAGTTTAATAAATGGAGGTCTTTATTTGACATACATAAAAATATAAATGTTACATTTTAAAACTGTTTTTTAATTTTATTAGTTGAGATCTGGACAGATTATCGAAATACTTATACTATTACAGTATTAATTTAAACATATAATATAGTTATAAAAAGAAGACAGACCATTGTCTGTTGAGTCAGCTGTACATAATTAAGAAATTAACTTCATTTATATAAAAAAATTACTGATATTTTTTGATTATTATAGGGCGGTACGAATTCCACTTGGTCATCTAGTTTGTAATATCGGATAATGTTCTTTTCTTTATTATTAAATTATATTGTTCGACTTACAGTATTCATCTGCTGGAGAAGCGCGTCCCATTCGATTTTCAAAAACTTTCTCGTCAGCAAACTGTCGTCATTATCACTATTTTCAATTTATACAATATCCATTTTACAAACAAAGCACTCACACTCACTTGCACGACTTTATTTTAAACTTAACTTGCTCATGTAATCATATAAACTTCCTCATTGACAGCTCTTTTACTACAGTTTACTAACAATCCTCATTTCCGAAAGGAAATGATTTTTGTGAAGTCATTACATTTACTCTTTTATATTTAACATTGACTTTTAGTGAATAATCTTAGTTATTCGAATAATCAGAAAGCATTGCATAATTTATAGTAATTAATTATTAGATCATTCAACCTTGACATTATAACTTAATATTTTATAAATAATGTGATTGATTACTGTTTAAGTACTAGCTTTATAAAATGACATTTTGATAAAATATGAATTAAACAATATTGTTCTTTAATGCAAATCATTTAAAGATCTGTAGAACAAATAGCATTGTTAATTAAAAAATAATACCATGATTTTAAATCTATAAAATCTACTATTAATTCATTAGTATGCAAAAATAAAAATTGTTGAATAATATTTTTAATTATGTACGTGAATTGAAAAGGTAAGTCGTAATTGTAAAACGCATAAACCATTAGTACATTACTAACATTATATGATTATGCACATAGATAATAAATTTATTTTAGAAATTCTTTATTAACATAAACAATGACATACAAAAAGACGTTACAAGATTTTAAACTAAGTTAATGGTTTCAAAATGTAAATGTTAAAAAAGTATATAAATATTCTCAAAATTATTAATCACATTTATAATAACAACTCTAAATATCTTATAAATGTATACAAGTTCGTTTTTTTTTAATTTTCATTCAAAGTCATTGAAAATATATAATTAATAAAGTTAATATATATGTTTATATGTGACATTATGAATTTTTATGGAAATAGATAAATAAATTAGAAATAATTTGAATTAATACAGTCCATACATTAAATCAAATTGTACCATGTGTAATATTTAATTAATATATAAGCGTTATCTATATATATAAAAGAAAGTCGCGTTAGTTACTCCACTTATAACCCAAGAACGGCTGAACCGATTTAGCTGAAAATTGGCAGGGAGGTAGTGTAAAACCAGGAAATTGCAATAGGATACTTTTTATCCCGTTCGACAGCATTCCCGTGGGACTTGACATGAAACGTCAGTCACTATAAAACGTGGAATAACGAAACACAATTGACAGCTATACAATTGACGTATAATGACAGATATGTAATGACATATGGATGACAATTTGATATTTGTAAGAAATGTAGTATATAAAAATAGGTCCGGTTTTCCATCCTGACGCTATAACTTCAGAACGAAAGAACCAAGAAAAGGGGGAAAATCTTTTGTCACATACAGCGCCATCATACATAACATGTACTACAAATCAATATTTTAAGTATATGGTGCCGTCGCATGATACATTGTTTGACAGCTACTCATTGTTCTCTTCTCAGTTAATCTCATGGGACAAACCGGTATTGTGTTTGTAGTTTGAACTCTTAAAACCATTTAGTATTTGCGGGATAAATTTAGAAAATCATTGTTTTTCACATGGGCAGTTATATTTTGCGTGTTCACGAGTTTGGAAACCAACCGCTTTATTTGTGTTAAAGTTAGACCAAAAAACAAAATATGTGGTTTACAAAGGAGCACTTCAATGAAACGGATAATTTGCGGACACGTATAACGCTTCGATTCGGTATCTACTTTGAATTCACTTTCATTTACTTAGAGAAGTTCAACTAAATAACACTTCATTTTTGTAATCGAAATGAATTGATTACTGTTGTGAAATGAAATAAAAATTTTCCCTTTCAAATATAAAACAAAAAAATTCTTCATCTTTTAATCACCAAACGAAATGTTATATAAAAGCCTTCTCGTGGCGTAACGGAGTTCGCCGGGTTTACTAATGTAGAATAAAATATGAAATTGAATCAAAACCTATCCGAATGAAATCATATCCGAAAATATATATTAAAATGATGGTATAAATTGTACTCACACTGCCTAGGAGAAGATAATGGTTAAAGTGGTAGAAACGCTAGCGATTGCTTTTTTTATTGTCTCAAGTATAGCAACGTTTTTCTTGATTAAATTGACACCAATCACAGCTTTTCGTGACCTGAAGAGTTGTGTAGTACCCTGTACCTAAGGTCATGATGCTCGTTCGTCTCATTGTTGAGCCTGTCTGTCTTTAAAAAAAACTTGCAAGTTGTACACATAATCACATGAAAGATTTATTCACGCTAATGATTTTAATAAACGTCACGCTGTGTAAGAATTTCAGACACTAACTGTATAATAGTGACTTTCATTCATTGATTTATTTATAAATACAATTCGTCATACTACGCCACTACGTCATCAAAAAAAAATATATTTATAAATACAATTAGTTCTCACAATTTTCGTTTTAATTAAAATGTATCTGAATTAAGTTTTTTATAAAGTAGTAACTTTAATTAACTTTATTATTGGTTTTCTTCGTTTATTAGCTACAATTGTGTGGTTAAATTCAATATCGTAAGTATTTAAAGCCATTTATTTAAGGTACACAACCAAAGCAAAAAGCAATAGTTTTTAGTTTTTCACGTAGCTATTAAATAACTTCATCTTTTTATTAAACAGGAATATGTACCTATTATAAAATTAATCTTTTAATCTATGAAAACATAATTTTATTATACTTATTTCTCTTTGAAGGAAACATTGCTATTGCAATGAAGATTTCACTGTTTTGTAGCTATAAAGAAAGATTTTGTAATTTATTGCAAAAAAAATAACTCTTTCTGCATTCTATTGAATTTCTAACAAGACTTGATAAGTGTTCAATAGCAGATTTCGTTTTTAATTAACTTCGATTTATAAGAAGTGTATTCTTTATTTAATTTCAATTAAAGTTAAGCTGCAGAAATCACAAAGCTTGTCTTAGATTTGTTGCGTTCTAACCACATAAAATAAAACAAATATAATTTTTATTTTCTTTGCTCCGTAACTTAAATTTTAATTTTTAAAACAACAACTTCCTTTCTTTGAAATTGCCTTTGTAATGTTAAATTTTCTAAATTTGTTGAGAACTTAGTCGAACTGTTGGACCACGTTAATTTAAATCGACGATTCGCAACAAACAATAAAAGCAAATTTAATTCACATTGGACACCGACGATCGCCTGCACGTTTGACTTGGAATTGTAAATTTGGATTATTTCGCCGGCTTGTGGATTTGATATTACTGAAACGATGGATCGCTGTGTGAATTGTGGGATAGCAACTAGTAACATTGTGCCCCCTGCACAGTTCCTAGACGATATTTTAATTATTATTGAAGAGGAATAAAATATTCCATTAAAATTATTTGTTCTATTTTGTGACTTTTATCACATAGTTCACTCCTCCTGTTCTTCGTAAAATTCCATACTTATTACCGATATCTGTATGTCTTTGAGTCTTTCTGGCCTTGTTATAACAGATATTCTCTTCTAAATAAAATTATTATTTTTCACATACTTTTAAGTGTATTCATCTAATTCTTAAAGATAATGCAATATAACCTTACTTTTACTTAATCTCCAATAACTCAGCTATCTGATTGTCAATTTCTATAGAATTTTCAATTCTATTGTTCGCGTCGTCCGGCCTGCGCACCTGTAGCCCCGCTGGCCCCCGCTAACGGCTAACGGCCGCTAGTCAGCTGAGCGGACACTGCGCCGGGCTCTTGACTCATGAACTCATCAGTCCGCATAGACTTTAGCTGTGTAATGTTTGTCCGTCATCGCTACGGCAACACTCGCACGCGCACCCTCGCTTACGAAAAATAATCCCCTTCTGTATTAATAGCTTTTAAGTAGTTTAAATTGCTAAACCTTGTTTAATTCACTATAAAAATTATTATTTATTTCTTATTTAGAATCAGGTGATACATATCAAAAAGACAAAGAAATAATGTCGTAAATTAATAATATACTTCAATGTTTCCACGGAGTAAAATTATACCTTAGCACCTACTAGATCCAATTATGTATTAATTTTTTTTTCTTGATAAAGTTAATTTCATGATTAGTAACTATTATCTACTTGAATCGCATTATGCACTTTTTTAAAACATTATTTTATTCCGTTCATTGTCTGTTTAAAATGTATAAAATAATGGTAAAAGATTTCACGATATTTCTATTCCAAATGTAATTAACGAAGTATGGGTAGACTTACCTGCGTTTGTGGTTTTTCATATTTTTACTGAATAAAAATAACTGCGAAATAATATTTTTTCACTCTTGTTGCACACTATTAAATCAACGAGGAATCTTATAAATAGAAAAAATCATATATTTTTCTATACATTTTATTTTGTGACGAAGCTTTATTTCCTTCACACAAATAACGTAAATTGTTAACGTTAAATAACGTAAAGTTAATATTTTTGTGGTTTGAGAAGCAAATAAAATGGCTTCTAAAATAATTAAAATTTTTGAGCGATTGGAAAGCCCCAAATACCCTCTCCTGGGCCCAAATTTAAAAGGACTTTATTGGTTCGGCCTCTGGCAATGTGGAAATAGGTTTCGTGACGGTTTCTTTAATATTTTGCATTTAGCCTCTGTACTCTTCGTTCTATCTGAATTTGTGGAACTATTTGCTATGGAGTTCGATCTAATGAAAATTCTCTTTAACGTTTCTGTAACCGCATTAAGTCTGGTAACAGTATGCAAAACCGTCTTATTTATTTATTATCTGCCAGTTTGGAAGAATCTAGTAAATAGTATATCAGAATTAGAACAAGAACAATTAAAAAGCAAAAATTCCAAATTAATCGCAATAATTAAAAAATATACATTATATTCTAGAGTAATAACGTACTCATTTTGGTCAGTGATTTTTATAACTAGCGTCTTGACTGTCACTGCACCGTTTTTAAAATACATTACTTCGCCAAGCTACAGACAAAGCATTCAAGATGGCACCGAACCCTATCCCCAGATTTTGAGTTCTTGGTTTCCTTTTGATAAGACTAAAATGCCTGGTTATATAATAGCTGTTTGTATTCATATTATCATGACTACCCAAGGGGCTGCAATTGTAGCCGTTTATGATTCAACCGCAGTCGCTATAATGTCATTTTTAAAAGGACAACAGATTGTATTGCGATATAAATGTGAAAGAATTCTTGGTTTAAAGGAGCCGATACCGACTGAAAAAATTTTTGCTAATATCGAAGAGTGTCATCGTTTACATTGCTTTCTAGTCGAGTTTGTATTTCAAATATTTATAGCATTATTGAATTATAAATTTAATCTTTATATGTTAATATTGGAGTTATATTTTAGGCAACACAAAATATTCAACTCAATTACATCACCCGTTATGATCCTTTATGTTTTAGTATGTTCTATTATGATGTGTTGTAGTGTAGTGCAGTTAAGTCTGGTAAGTTGTTTATTGTAGTACATTGAGTTGTAGTGATTTGAATGAAAATAATATATAAAAATTTAACTTCCTTCTTTTTAACTACATACAATATTTCAGGGTCAAATCAGCACTTCTGAAAAGTTATGGGTTATAGAATTTACAACAGCATTGATTACGCAACTCTTTTTATATTGTTGGCATAGTAATGAAATAACATATGAGGTAAATTTATTGAAATAATAGTGACTCAGAGCTTTTAATTATATTTTTAGAGTTTTTTTATTTTGTTTCTAAAACGACAATTGATAAATTAAGCTGGTTGAGTAGCTATTCTTTTGTCTTAATATTTAAACTACAAATTTAAAAATCTACTAAACTACTACATTTATATAAATATATTATGAATATTTTTCAATTGTATTTATCATACAAGTTATGATTAAATAAATATTAATTACTCTTAACCACATAATGTATTTAATAACTTCTATTTTTCTTGGCAGAGTAATTTACTTGACCGTGGGGTCTACGCTAGTAATTGGTGGAGGGGAGATATTAAAGTTAAAAGACAAATCTTGATTCTAGCTGGAAAGTTGGCCCCCTCATTAATACTCAAGGCCGGACCAGTCACGACACTTTCTATGGCTACATTTATAAGCGTAAGTAAGAATAAAACACATGGAAATTACTTATTTTTTTTCTTGTTAAGACTATAATGGTAATTATTATCTTCCTCTTTAAATATCTTGACAGATCCTGAAGGGTTCGTATAGCTTCTACACTCTAGTCACACAGATGCAGGAAAATCAAATATAGCCACGAACCAAGAAGAGTAATATTCGGTTATTATTTTAAGTTATGTATATTATGTATATTATTTTAAGTTATGTATATATAATAATATTTCAATAAACTTGTTTATTTTCAAAATATTTTCTAGCATTTTTTATTACCTCTATATATCGACTAATCACAATAAAAACGCTTCTTGAAAAACGACACGAATCTTGATAGTCAAAGTACACAATCATAGATTATGCAAATACGCCGACATCAAATGGAAGAAATTTATACTCCAAGACATCGGTCTAGATATGAGTATTTAATTAATTATAATATAATTCTATTGATTTGTAAATAGAGACTTGTATGAAATAAATATTTGACCACTAACTAGTCGCGGCAAATTAATTATTGGACATCCCCCTATCAATACGGTACCGCTGATCATAGTAATGTGGACGTATTCACCATCGACTACTATACTTATTAACCGACTGGTGTCACTTGGAATCCACAAAACATTTAGTACGTACTTAGTCTCATTTTATTGTACTTGTAAGGTCCAAAGCATGTTAAAATAAAAACATCAAAGAATATTGCTGCTTTTAAAAAATTCTTAAAATGAGTTATATTATAGAATATTATAACATTGGTATTATAGATACAAGATTAGTATAACGTAAGTAATTGAACCATCATATTAAATATTGTTATTCTTTTTTATGTAGTTTATAAATAAGAAATCCAAAGAACCCTTGTCAAGAAAATTGGGTGGCCAATTATTTTGGGTTGTAATAATAAGGCCAACTTTATATTTGTATAAATATGAATACTTTTATCTTTTTATATTTAGCATAAAAATGTTATCTATGTAATAAAATTGTGCATGTGTCATGTATTTTTCGTTTATTCTTATTTCAGATTAAATAAGTCGAATAAAATAGATTACTTTATTAATAAAATAGATCATAAAGGAATAATAATATATCAAAATAAATTAATGTGAGATGAGACAAAACTTTAACTTGACTTTTTAAATCCAAAAAAATGTGTGTTTAAAAATGTCTAACTGACACAATCATTTCCATTTCCATTTGATAATGATATTATTATTGTGACACCTATAGCACCCCTCATTATTTATTATTATTACATTAATTTGTAATTATTTTTTTTTTGTTTTTTATTATACATGCTTATATTATATATGATATTTTTGATTATTTATGTATTGTGTACAGAGTAACCATCATTATAATCCATAATAAATCCACTGCTGGACGTAAACATCTCTGGACTGGACTAGAATTCGTTACCCCCACAAAAGCGCACTGAAATTGAAATACGGAGTTGACAAAAAATCCCCCGGTCCATATGTATCCATCACTCAATCTCCGATTTGAAGTTATGTCTATCCAGTACGAGTACTTGTACTTGAGTACTTGCCCTAGTCAATATGCTAAAAGACAATTGCGTCTTAACTTCATTTTTATCTACATATTTCTCTCAAAATATAAGTTACTGAGACCAATTAGTGTGATTATGCAAAATTTATTCTACATCCTGCAACGTTTCAGACAAAAGCCTGTAATTTGCTGTAATATTCCGTATTGTCTTTCTATAAAAATTTAAATTACGGTGCTAAACTACTCTGAAAACAAACAGGTCATATATATATATACAGGGCGACTGGTGAATTACTATCAATATTTAAGGAGAATACTCGGTACATGATTCTCATTCGAATTATGTAAAAAAAATAGGTACTTAATTTTTGACCAAATTTCCGTATAAATAAATAAAGTGTGGACACGTTCCAAGTGTGTGTGTGTGTGTGTGTATACCTAATCTGTAGGGTGTTCACACGATGCGTAATTAATTAGATAACTTTTGGTTAACTTTACTTAGAAGTTTATTAATATTTATGTTATATTAATTTTTATTTTGTCATATATGATCGTCAAATATCACGTCCTCAAGTATCGATAGTAATTCACCAGTCACCCTGTATATGAACCAGAAGTGATACGGTGAATAGCTTTCCATTAGGCTTTAAATTTTTAATAAATAAGATAACGACACACCTATTGCATGCATTCGAAGTTCTCGCAGTAAAAAAAGGACCTAAATGAATAAAACGCTGAGTTTCCTTAAAAAGGAATTTCGTCCCGCTTTCAGAAACTTAGTCGAGTTACAATCCTCGCCGAACGCTTTTCTATTATTGAATCGCATTGAAATGTCCCATGACATAGTTGTAGTGTACTCTAGAGGTGCTGTGCAGATCTTGGGATATTTTCATGTAACAAATTTCTATGTCACCGTAAGATTGTGATAAAGTCCGTGAATATAAGTCGCAGTCTCCCTAATAATAATGATTTCTTAATTATGTGCAAGTTATCTGAGAGCAATAATAATCTCAAGGGCCACGTTGATTTTCATTAGTTCATTTAATAGGCAGTTTGTTAGTGTGAGCGAATAATTACCGAGAACTTCAGTTAGATACTTCTGAAATATTAGATAAGTTGTATAGCAGTAAAAAGTAAGAAATGTCTATATTTCTTTAAAGCGTTTATAATACAAATACGTTGAGCTTTTTTTTGTAATATCACATAAAAGTCAAGAACAGTTTTCTTCATTATTTAAAAAAAAAAATTCACATATATATAAAAATCATAAAACTGAAAACTAAAATAAAATCGTATATCATCTTGTTTTTTACCAGTTCCTGTTGCCAAGTTGTTCTTAAGAATTATTATATCCGAATATCTTAGATTTTATTTATTTTATAACATCCACTCCTACTCAAACTCTTATTACTCTGTTCTCAGATTATTAAAACTACAAGTTTTTAAATAGATTACAGTATTTGTTAGCCTGTTAGTTGCCACTGTTTTCAACTATTTACATTTAGGCCATATAACTAAATCTTTGCAGTCTTCTTTACATAGTTAAAATTCCACGAAATAAAAAATAACACCCAAATTATATAATTAAACTCTAAAGAGTTCTATAAAAATTGAAAGAGGTACTATAAAGTAGCAATTATTGTTTATTTTAAATATATTTAAATTATTGAAACTCCTAATTTCAATTCCAATATTATTACATTTAGCTACAAATGTAAGTAAAAATAAAGAGCAATCATTCATATTAATAATTAATTAGGAGTCATTGGCTTTACATTTTTCATATTACTTAAAATTTTTAATATTACTGGAACATCAATGAGTATTTCAAGTCAATGTTTTTGAATCATTTACATTCATCTAACTAAAACATTGTTTCTCAGAAAGATCCTTTCTTAAGAAGCTGGCAGGAGACAGATAATGAGTAAAATGTAATTCGTATTCATTTAATCTTCAGAAATGTTATGTTTTAATCATCTTAAGTATTTTATTATTCTTATAAGATGATATTAGTTTTTTTGGTAGCTAGAATAGGGGATAGATAAAAAAAACTATTTGGTCATCCAATAATTTAATTTGTATAACGCCTACAATGCTATTATACTTGAAAAGACTTAATTTATTGATTGAATTGTGCTTTAGGTGAATCACTTAAAAAATATTATGTTATATTCGTTTTTAATCTAGTACGTATGTACGTGTTGGCTATTTTTATGTTACTATATTGTACTTCAAAAGTGAATAAAATCGTTATATCGTGTATTTTTTCCTAAAAAGTTAGTTACCGTTTAAAAAACTAAAAGCAAAATTTTCTATTTTCAATTCTGAACGTGTCTAGAGGGAATTGCTTGTAAACTCCGAAATCAATTTTCAGACTAGAGAGAAAAGCTTGAATGAAAATTGCTAGAGGGCAAGATTACGAGTAAGATTGAAGATTTCAAAGATAATTACAAAGCCGAATTAAAAACTAGATTGGATTATTTTGTTACTGTATCTATTTTATGGTGAATTGGTGTGATTTTATTCTTATAACTTACAGTCATTATTACACCACTGTTATACTATTCCGGTATAAGTTTGAAAATTAATACATGTGTACATATATTTTTATCCATCACTCGCCCCGTTTGCTCAATAAAGTGTAGTAGCTGTAGGAACCTTTTAATATCTGTAAACAAAATTCCTTATTAATAAATTAATACATGTATAATGGTGAACATAAATATAAAACGACTAAAAAAATAATAGAGGCTAGAAATAATACATAGTCTTTGTAAACAGGGTACCGTATATTGGCAATTTCTTTTAAAGGAGTATCATACTTTTGGAGTAGGTGGATGTGAAGTGGTTATGACATTTGTATTTCATTTTAATGTTCGTCATTTTTCAGGTCATCTATGAATACCCTAAAAGCAATACTAAACAGAAAGCTTTAAAAAATATTGGATAAGCCTTCGGTGAGCTAAATCAACTTGTTATATCTAAGCAAACATCTGGTTAGTCAAAGGGGGGAAATATCTATTTTATGGACTTACAGCTACAAAGGTAGCAATATTAAGATCTGTGAAGGGCCCGGCGGTGAACATTACTTTCTTTTTCAACTGTCCGCCTAGTAGTAATACACTCCGGCGTATCCTTACGTCCTGTGACCACCATGCACTTGTATAAACTCCACTGTCTACTTGCAAGCTCTAAAAAAATTAGAATACATATAATATGTACAAATTACATGTTTACCAAACATCACTTATACAAGTCTCACAATCCTCCTAGGGTTATTGTATTAGGAGCAAAAATAAATAGTTTTTAAGTAATCAATAAAAATATGAATGCATATGAAGCTCCTACCAAGTACAAAGTGTCGGTTTGCGCCTCACATCCACTGAAATATTATAGTGAAAGTTTGATGTAACAATTTTTTTAATTGTTTCGTAACTTAGCGAATAACGATATTTACCATATGCAGAACTTTATGACTATGCCAACAATAAAGGAAAAGTTGAGCGACAAGAGCTATAAGATATTCTGCAATCCATATCTGCTGCATGCTTGTAGTGCCTTCCTGTAAAAATAAAATAAATCTATATTTAGCAATCAAATCAAAATTTCAACAAAAATAAACAGAAACATTGATATTCACTGTTGTCAATTGCACTGCACTGGCGCAAATCATTAAAGAACAAATAATGATGTACAAAAACATCACAGGAGACAGCAAAGAATTAAAAACTTTTGAATACCTGAAAAATTATATAATTAACTTCATACATTGTTTTTTTATTTACACTTGAGAAATAGGTCGGGTTAATTAAATTTTATACGTCACCTCATAAGAAGAATATGATGATGATGACATATTCTTATTCTGTCGATGGCCTCTCTATAACTTACGGTTTCTTCTCCGTTCCCGAAGAGCCTCTCACAATTTATTTTTAATATTTCTAGCTGTCCAGCAAAAAAACACATCAGGACCACAGCATTCGAATCGTAATTAGCGACAATACCGCCTCCATAAAAACATATTAGAACATGAATAAGAGTCAAAATCATATACCCCCAGCCTTGTGTTTTATCGAATGGTACCCAAGAACTCATAATTTCTGGATATGAAGACGCCCCACTACCATTCAATTCTTTATTTTGAAACGAAGACAAATAAGATGCCAAAGGTGCTAAAATAAGCGAAAAGACAGTAGCTGTCACAAGGGTCCAGTAAAAATATGTGACAAATCTAGAATACTCCGTGTATTTCCGAATAATATTCTTAGTGAGACAGTCTGGCTTATAAAGTTGATGTTTCTCTAGTTTGGAGACATAATTGAAAAGATCCTTCCAATATTTTTGCCAAATAATGAAAGTCCCGGCCTTAACAACACAAACAGTGCTCAGCATTGTTACAGACAGGTTTTTAAGAGCCAAGGCCAAGTCATTCCTGATGAAATAAAGCTCTACATATTGGCTTAAAACAAACATTATAGCCATAATATGTATTGTATTGTAAATTACTTTAACTCGTTTTTTAAAAGATTGCCATATCCCCCATGTTTGGAGGCCCCATAATGTTGGGCCTAATAATGGATGATCAGGATTTTCGAGGCTCGACAAAAATTTTAATGTCATATTTTTGTACGTCTGATTCTTACAACTTTTCGTGATGAAATAATTTTTAAATTGCTTTATTAAAACAGAATTTAAAAAATCTCCTATACATATTTAGATTCCAGTCGTTCTTGTGATAATAATCTCATCACTTTTATAATATTTTGACTATTTCTGTGGCCCATACAATTCTAGTTTAAGCAATTTTCAATACTATACTAATAGTAATAATCTACGTGTTAATATCGCTAATAAAACATATGTCAATTTATATTTATATAGTTAAAAACTGGACATACAGTTTTTAAGTTTACATCTGCACAAACTTACAAACCTTGTATAATATGTAGAACGAACATAAAATTGCCTACTATTTTATGTCATTTTCTTAAACTACATTGTACAGATTAAATTTTTTAAAAGGCAGTCGTAATGTGGGCGGACTGGTGTCGCAACAGTCCAATTAACTAAATACATATTTCATAGCATTTAAACACAGCTTTTGCTCCATAATTTTCTATCAAAAGAAATAACACACTATATCAAAAGTGACACAAGGGCTTTTAAGTACAGAATACCAAATGTAATTTTTGTTGGGTAAACCAATAAATATGATGTTATAAATTTTGCGGAAATTATTTATTATATTATCCTTACGATTCTAATCATAACAAAATTTAATCTCGAAGTCTTTTTTTAATGTGATAATTTGATAAACATAATGAAAACATGATAGAAAAATCTGATTTATACAACAATTATTTTAGAATTATCACCATCATTTGGAGTATTATACTGTTTTATTTATTTTAATTCCAAACAATTTGAATTATATATCGTTTAAAACTTAATTTTTTCGGGAGCAAAGATATATATAAGTTACAGAGATTAGTTTTTTAAGTAATTTCATAGTTTTTTCCTTGAATATAAATAATAGTAATTGGTTTGTATTTAACTAGTAACAGTGCCCTCTATGAATCTACAATTGAATTAAATACAGCAATTACCTTGCTATAGTAATTGTAACCGGCAATGGTAGGTGTCGTTTGAGAAAATTATGGTATTTTCTTATTCGAAAACGAATATATAATGTACCACAATTAAGTGTATAAGGTATATCAAAATTTTAATGTTGTTTTAAGATAAAAACGTAATTTCCTTCAACTACTTCAACTCACACTTTTAAAACGAATTTTAGCATAAATCCATCTAAATCTAAATAATCTAAATTTTACAATATTTCATAATGTATTATGTAAAAATAGTAAGGTTTAAGTCAATGAACTTTCAGTGTTGATTTCATACATATGGTTTCTCCTGACTTTGAATGTGAAACTGATATAAAATACATGCCCCGTTTAACTTTAGTCGAACTTACGTTAAGTTTTGTTTACTTTAACTTTGTTAGACTTTGTAAGCTAATTAAAACAGGTACACCATTTTAACACAACTTTAAATGTGAAAGTAGTTCTGGATTATTATAATTTGTGCTTACACATAAGATTTGCTAAGATAAAATATATAATTAAAAAATAACAAAAGTTAAAATCATTTAACAAAGGCACATAAAAGACAAATAAAAACCAACTTGGAATAGTTTTAATAGAAATATATATATAATTATTTTTTTATTATTTCATTTACAATGCTTTTTTATTATTTCAAGTACCTATGTACTTCCGACATTTTAATTACTTTGCTACTGTGATCACGACCAAACGAGATTAAAAAAATTCTTGGTACATTCGAAAATATGAGTTTTATTTAAATGAATTCTCGAGAAAGTCTTATATAGTATAATTTAAGGTAATGATACCTATTGATTTTAAAAATTATAATGTTCTGAAGAATTCAATATTTATCATGAGTGTCATATAATCTTTTAAGTAATACGATATCATCATATCACATATGACACTATTATATTTTAAATAAGATGTAAGGATTTTAAATAATACTACTCAATAGGTGGCGCTTCTGTTTTTTGTACTCTATTACTCAGTGGCATGCACACTATAGATGCAAATAAGCACTGCATACCCTACCCATACTTATAGCAACTAAACCTATATTGTTTAATTCTTACCTAGGTACTTTTAGTCACACATTACGAAATACAAATGTTTACAGACATTTAAAATGACAATCGATTCATGATATGTTAAAAGCGCCATCTATAAAGTACATAAAACGAAACATTTTCGATCGGCCGACGCCTACTGCTAGCGCCGCTGTGCAGCCGTAGTGGCGGTATACACAACCACTCTCTGCTTATTTTCCATACAAAAATTCTCAAGGACGCTCTACAAATCTCGTGTATGTATACAGGAAATGTTTGGACGTATACAGGAAATTTTTGTTTGTAAACAGATGCATAGTGGTCGAGAAGCACATTATTTTGTATTGTTTAAAATCTCGTAGAAAGTCCGTTAATTGTCAAACGAAACGGGGGTCTCTGATTGGTCCGTAAACTGTTCATTTATTTTTTTACCATTTTATTATCTTCTATAACAGAAAAATGAATCGCAAAATGTGTTGGTAAGCGCATAACTCAACAACGCCTGGCCCAATTTGGAAAATTCTTTTTTTAAAATGTTCGTTGAAGTCCAAGGATGGTTCTTAAGGCGAGAAAAAATCGAATAATTGCCGGGAAAACCCTCAAAACAAACCCTTTTCTTTTTCACATACAAACGTTTTCTTACTAAAACGTAGAATCAATTTGAGCTTTATTGCTGTTACATAAAGTTCATATTCAATTACAAGCACTGACTGTTATCTGACAAATACAGGTGTGTTCCTAACGTCAAAAAGTAAATTTGCACTTTCTTACCGCTACACAAAGTTCAAATTCAATCATATCTATCAAAACAATGTGCGTGAGTGCGTTGGAGCACAGAATACGTCGTCGGAGGATTTAATGTCGCGTTCAGAAACTAAAAAAAAGTGATCGCGGACCCGACCAATTGAATAGTCACAAAATATAATAATAACCATCAGATTTGTTTGTCTATGCGCCAGGTAATCAAACAATAAAACTTCGTTTATCATAAAGCACTACAATGAAAATAGAAATGATTTTTTTTGTTAATAATTATGATTTACATGATTAAAATTACTTACTTTTAAATGCGCGATACATAAGCTGAGCTTGACGTTTGTGTGACTATATTAGTCTATAATAAACTATTATCTCTGTCTTAAAAGGAAAAAGAGCGCGGGAATTGAAACGTTGACGCGGGCTTTTTGAAAATTTTAATTATTTTAAATAGTTTTATACTATAATTTGCAAATTTTTGTTTAGTTTATTGTAAAGAAGTAAAACTTAGTCTGTATATAAGTGTTTATGTGGAGAGATGGTGAAAAAACGTAAAAAGAAGGATTCGGGTGAGTCCTTGCCTTTTAGCACAAGCAGCGATTCCGATTGCGAGGATTCGCCAGTATTGCAGGATGCAAATGCCTTCGCTCCCTTTATTTATTGTCGGCGATTCCCTGAAAATGCGGAAGCCAAGTCTGAATTCATAGTATTTGTCGAAAGTACTAATGATTTCCCACCCGGTAATAGGGACATGATGTCGCTTAGTTTTATACGCTCTGTGAAAGGTATACAATATTTTTAAAAAATAACAAATATAAGGTCGGTGTTGTTTTCCAACGTGCGAATTTGGTAAATGCTTTTTTAGAAAATACTACATATCTAAAGGAACAACGACTAAAACTTTCAATACCAGCAGGGGCCACCGAACAATCGGGAGTTATCTCTTCGCTTCCCACTCATCTATCCAATCACAAAATATATAAAGCAATATCAACAACAAAAAAAGTCATTTCTGTCCGACGCATAATGTGTAAAGTAAAAGGAGAAAATAACACCTTCACACGTCAACCTACTCAGAGCGTAGTAATAACTTTTGCGTCTGCTACGACACTGCCGGACTATGTTCACATTAAGATGTGGCGCCTGTCTGTCTCCACATGTCCCACCTATAAAACAGTGTTTTAAATGTTTACGCTATGATCATCTGGCTAAGTTTTGTAAAAATACACCGCGATGCTCCATTTTCACAGAGGGGCATTCTTTTAAGGAATGCAAGGTTAACATTGAAAAAGCTAAGTGCATTAATTGTAATGGCAATCACATCGTCATCTCTAGCCAGTGCCCTATAAGGCAAAAGAAAATCACAAACAGTAAACCCAAGTCATATGCTGACACGTTAAAATATTCATTAAATAATCCCTCTCTTAATAAAAAGTTAAATACTCAAAAGAAGTAATCCAAGCGATACTATCAAATTCTGAAGCAATGACTCTATTAACAGAATCTATAGTAAAAGTTATAACTTTAAATAAAACTCAAAATATAAGTATTAGTTCATAATTTATTAGCTCAGCTATTAAAGAAACCATCCAAGACAAAAATAGCAAATCGTCACATTCAACCACCAAATCTTAAATATTGTGCAGTGGAATGCTCAAAGTCTGTTAAGTAACAGATTTGAGTTTCAAAATAATATACATGTAGTTCTTATTTCAGAAACTTGGCTCAAGCCTACTATTCAATTTACGTGGTTATACCATTATTAGGAATGACTGCGGTAATGATCATAATGGCGTAACAATAAAAATTAAAAATGGTATACATTTCTCTAAACTAGATACTTTTTATGATGATTCGTTACAAAATGTAGTAATTGTTATTAAACTGAAACATAAATGCATTTCTTTGGGTAGTTTTTACAGTCTTGGTAATATTTTTCCTGCTTTTGAAAATGCGAAGTTCGATCGTTTATTGTCCAGTATTCCAAAACCGTTGATAATTGCAGGCAATTTTAACGTCGATCATACTTGTTGGGGTTGCAGTAGCATAGATTCTCGGGGCAAAGCTATTATGGATTCCATGAATGACCATGACTTAATACTTTTAAATAATGGTCAACCAACAACTATAGGCTTTCCTATTTGGAAACCAAACAGTCTAGATTTAACTATGGTGTCTTCTTCTTTATTTCTTTCTTGTGACTGGCAAGTTCATAGTAGGCAGTTATCATCTGCCAACTATCACAAAATTTACTCTGGTAAGAGATCAACATGGACCCTCTATTTTCTTGAACAACATTCCTTTTCACAGCAATCTGAAATTCGTAAATTGGGATAGTTATGAAAAAATTGTTAATAAAATGTTAATGAACTTTAAAGTTGACAATAGTGATCTCCTTGACTCATACAGAAAGTTTTGTGCAATTATTCTATTGGCAATCAAATTCTCCGGGCCCAGCTTAAACCATAACACAACTGATAGTAATAATAACTGTCCTAGAAAAAGGTGTCAAGTGCCTTGGTGTAATGATAAATGTTCAAAAATAGTAAAAGACTGCAAGAACGCCTACATTAATTTCAAAACTAGACTTAATAGTAAAAATTACATTAATTTCAAACGCGCACAAGCCTTTAAAAAACGCACTTTAAAAGAAGAATGTTGTAAAAGTTGGTCTGAATTATGCTCATTAATAAATCGTTTGACATCTATAAATCGCATTTGGACTAAAATAAAAAAATTCAAAAAAAGCTTTCCGAGTTCTAACTTATTTTTGACCTCAATTGGGTTCAAACATTTTTATATAAATACACACCGGATACTGTTTCACAACAGATAAGTATAGATAATGTTCTTGGAGTAAATAGTGATAAATCATACATGATCGGTTGTTTTACTATGCAAGAGTTAAAATCTGCTTTAGCCTCAAGAAAAGATTCTTCATATGGCCTGGATTGGGTTTCCTACAGAATGTTTAAACTTTTAAATGTTCAAACTCTATCTATTTTTTAATTCTATTAAATAGTTTATGGTCGTCTTCTATTATCCCAGAGGATTGGAAAACTGACTGTTTGGTACCAATAGTAAAACCTGGCAAAGACTTTAATTTGGCTGATTCTTATCGTCTTATTACACTGAGTTCATGTGTTGGAAAAATTGTCGAACAATTAATAAAACAGAGATTAATTTTTCATATAGAAAGTAATAATCTTTTACCTTACAATCAGTTTGGCTTTCGTTGTGGCCGTTCTGCTTGTGAGAGTCTACGTCATTTCTGTCTGGATATCCACGATGCTCGTTCCGAGAATAAAGTACTAGTTGTTGTTTTTCTTGACATTGTAGGGGCTTTCAATAATGTAGATCTGAACAAATTATCCTCAATATTATTATTACTACAGGTACCTGGAAAAGTTGTAAATTAGATTTTTAATTTTTTGAACTACAGAAAGGTGTTTGTTAAGGTCAACAATCAGTTATTTGGTCCAAGATATTCTTGTATTGAGCCCATTGCTTTTTATCCTATTCATACATAAGCTAAATTTAACTCTGGGGTGTGAAGTATCTAATCTGCAGTTTGCAGATGATTTAGTTGTTTATTGCTCTGATACTAATTTTTTACATGTACAATCAGTCCTCAATGTTGCTCTCAAAAGACTAAAGAACTATTTTGATAGCCTTGGGCTGGAGGTCAGCAATGAAAAAAGTAAAGTTGTTGTCTTTTCAAAAAATGGAATTAGAAATAGAAATATTTTGTTCAATAATAATGTAATGTCTGTAGAGAGCTCTGTAAAGTTTTTAGGTGTTATTTTTACAAACAATTCTAGATGGAATAAGTATGAAACTCTAGAATCTCGAGCTTTAAATGCTTGTAATGTTTTAAAATCTTCAACAGGCACATATTGGGGTGCTGATCCAAGGATTCTATTAACATTGTATAAATCATTAGTAAGGAGTCATTTTGAATATGCTTTTTTTGTTTTGCAGGGGTAAGAACTATAGTGGATAAATCAGAAAAGATACAAAAAAAATGTTTGCATATTATAATGGGTACCATGTGAACTACTCCCATAGTGACACTATGGGAGTAGTTCACATGGTTCACATTGACAAATGCAGGTGGAATGTACTATAACACCATTAGCACTTAGGTTTAAATACTTACAATCAAAATTTTTTGTGAGGTTGCTCTCCATTAGTAACCATCCACTTCTTGTTAAACTGCAGGACACTATTAAAAGGACTGCCAATATTAATTCATATTCATTTCAAGGTTTTTCTGAAACAGAACAAATTTTTAATAAACATAATATCTTTTCTAGCATGGTATGGCCTTGTTACTCTGGGTTATATGAATCAAAATTTATTCAGATTAAAATTGTAGTCAAAAGTCTTCTAAAGTATAAGGAAGACATTTATAGGGAACTTGATAGGTGGCAGGGATATTGTCAGATATATACAGATGGATCTAGGAACAATGAAGCAGTCTCTATAGTTGTCTATGAGTCAGGTCAAAAGTGGATTTGGTCATAGGCTGAATCCACTCACAAGCATATACTCCGCTGAATCCATAGCTGTGTATACAGCTACGGAGCACATTCAAACACAGACTCATCAAAAGTGGATTATAATAACGGATAGTTTAAGTTTATTAACAGCACTACAAAATCCACAATTAAATTCAAAAACTAACTATATTATAATATAAAAAATAAGAAAGTTGTATCATCTACTGTCTCAAAGCAAGCAAATAGTCCTATTCTGGACACCAGCCCACATTGGTGTGCATGGTAATGAGCAAGCAGACTATTTAGCAAAATTTATTACAAATCTGGCCCACAATCAATTAAGTTATAGCTTTTTAAATTTCCCAATTCCTTATTCAGACGCTCTATCTCTTTTCAAACTCACGTAATAGAAATAATTTTACAACTTGTGGCATCAGGTGGTAAAGGTAAAAGGAAAATGGTTAGCTACAATAAAGAAAAAGGTCTTTTCTCCCTGGTTTACCCGGGGTAGTGACTATAGCCATAGAAAGTATTATACCACAATCTGTCGTTTGGGTCTGGGGACATTGTCGTTTTGGTGCTCACCTTTTTGGGATTGGTGTTCTGGACTCTTCAACTTGTAGATATTGCAATAGTGCTGATGAAACACTCGAACATATATTTTTTAATTATCCACAGTTTAGTATTCAAAGGATGGTCCTTGTAGATCAACTTTTAAGTATTTTTAAAACTGCTGAAGATATCCCGCGCAAATACTAAGCATTCAAGAATGCTTCTTGCCAGCTTATGGCTATATTGTTTCTACTATAAATGAAATCTAATTGTTATTTGTACATATGTATATAATACTAATTTGTTTGTTTTGTTCAAGATATTTGCATTCAGCTATATTCAGAATTTGACTGTTATATCGATTTTGACAAATTAATTATTGTACTAAAAATGACATTACAAGGACTTGACATTGAAAAAAGACGGAATGTAAAAAAAAACTAGAAGTTGACAAAAAAAATATTTTAAATAAAGGCAAAGCTTCGGCCTTATAATTAAAAAAATATTCAAGAAGAAAAATGAAAAGAAGACATAGCTTCGGCCTTAAAATTAAAAAAATGTTTTAAGTAGAAAATTAAAAGAAGACATGGCTTAGGCCTGATATAAAAACTTGAATCGAGAATAAAAAAAGGAGATTAAGACATTTAAAAATAATTAAAGATACATAATACAAAAGACATGGCTGTATGGGCTTTGTTCTCTTTGCCTGTTTTGAACGGAACGAACATAACCAAAAAAAAAATGTCTCTGCCTTAAAAGTTCAGTTATTCTTTTAAATTGCTTGCAAACAGTAAATTTGTTTTTTTTTCGTGTGGTTTTGTACGAGTACATATTCAGTTTTACTATTTGAGGCCGGAGTTGTAATAAAAAAATACCTCCATAATTCATTTACCATTTCTTAGTGTAATTTTCACATTGGTTTCTACAGAATAATTTGTACTGTTTGTTTTTTTCTGAAGTGTTTGTTCAACAAGGTAAGTCAAATTATTATGGTGTTGGAAAGTTTTGACAAAGACTAGGAATAGAATAATAGTATTTTTTATTTTCAGTTGAATTTTTGTTTCAAAACATGCCGGCAATTAGACGTACAAACTTAAGTCGCAGAACCCATAATGCCTCAAGTCAAAGATATAGAAGAGCTAATCTAACTGATGAGCAACGTGAAACGCGGAAATAAGTTGAAAGGAATCGATGGAACCGAAACCGACAACATAGAAGTGTTGCTTTTAACCCCTATAGAGCTGCATTTGATTATAACTAAGTAATGGACTACAGTACAATAAATTTTGTGCCAACTTTAAAGGTAAGTGTATTGAAAAACATTTGCCACTATTGTTGACAGTTTTCAATCGTGTTGGTGTATCATTAAAGTACATTTGTAGCTTTTTGAATTACTTTTATTAGCCAGAAGGAATTGTGTTAAAAAGTTGATGGGGGAAATGGTAGTGCTGACAAAGTATTTTGAATGTCACTTGGTGGTTTGAACAATTCACTTTACAATATTATGTAAATGTAATACAGGAATGTTTACCTTTGCAGATTCAAGGACAAATATATCATTGAACTTATTAATTATTACCCTTGTCCCCGTCTTTGAAAAAAACAAATAACAATGAAAAATCTTTTCAGTAGGTACATACCATGCACACACACAGGAGTAATGAAAACGAATAAATTTCTCGAAATAATAATAATATAATAAAAACAATCTGATATACTTACTAAAAAATTACCTATTATGTAACTGAACTCTCATTTGTAATTTTAGTAGGGATTTTACTCCTGTAAATATTCAAAATATTTTCAGAGATCACATAAAATATATGTACATATATTATCATATAAAATTAAAATTATAATATTTCAATATTTTATTGTGTGAACTAATATTAAATATGGCGATACAGTTTGCAGTTTACACTATACAGTTTGCCGTTTACACGATACAGTTTGCTGTTTACATGATACAGTTTGCAGTTTACACAATACAGTTTGCCGATGACACGAAACACGATACAGTTTGCAGTTTACACAATACAGTTTGCCGTTTACACGATACACGGTACTAGATAGCTAGTATTGAATAAAAATATATGTATAATGTTCTGAAGAATTCAATATTTATCATGAGTGTCATTTAATATTTTATGTAATACGATATCATCATATGACACCAGTAAACAAGAAATATAAAGTATAATATCAAAGGTTTGCTTATATTTTAAATAAGATTTAAGGATTTTTTAATAATACTACTCAATAGGTAGCGCTTCTGTTTTTTGTACTCTATTACTTAGTGGCATGCACACTATAGATGCCAATAAGCACTGCATACTCTACCTATATAACAACTAAACCTATATTGTTTAATTCTTACCTAAGTACTTTTAGTCATACATTACGAAATACATATGTTTACAGACATTTAAAATTACATTCGGTTCACGATTTGTTAAAAGTGCCATCTATAAAGTATTTAAAACGAAAAATTTTCGAACGGCCACTACTGAATGCTAGCGCCGCTATGCAGCCAGAGCCGCGGTATGCGCAACCACTCTCTGCTTATTTTCCATACAAAAATTCTCAAGGACGATCTACAATTCTCGTGTCTGTATGCAGGATATGTTTGTTTGTATGTGTGTGTAAAACTAACACATTCATAGTGTTCGAGAAGCACTGATTAATTATTATTTTGTATTGTTTAAAATGTCGTAGAAAGTCCGTTAATTGTCAAACGAAACGGGGCTCTCTGATTGGTCCGTAAACTGTTTAGTGTTTATATATTTTTTTCGCCATTTTATTATTATTGAATAATGTCATATGTCTTTCTAAACGCAAGTGAATGAGTTTTAATTAGTAAACAGTGAATTTATTTATTAACGAATTATGGAAAATTATAGTTGTGAACTCTGTGCTTGCGATATGTGATTATAGAAATTAGTTAGTCGTTTGATAAAAAAATTAAATAAGTCTAAACTGAAGGTGTGTGACCAGTTGAGATTGAACTAAAAGAAAGGTAATGTTATTCGTCTTAATAAAAAGTATTATGATAGTTTTAATTAGTTAGCAGGTTGTGTACACACAAATAAGTTATTTTGTTTGTTTGTTTTCAAATGATAATAATAAGAATGTTTGAATCTCCACTGGATAATGGATATTCCTATTTAAATAACTTCTATAAAGCTGTGATGAACAGATCGTAATCGTTTTAAGGTACTTTCGTGGCTCAGAGATATTTGAGAGATTCGTATAGTGTATAGATGTTCGTTATATTGGACTGCTGTAACATTATGTGCGAATATTATAAATGTTTAAATGAAACTAATAGTTTCCGATTTCTTCGCGTATTTTATTATGTTTAAAAACTACATACTTTCGACGTTTCGATTACTTTGCAGCAATCGTGATCACGTCTGCCCGTTTAAAATAATTAAAATACTAGTTACATTTAAAATTTAAATCAATAGACAATATTTGAGAAAGATATAATTATTATCAATGTTTTAGAGGAGGAAATTATGAAAATTGGTATTTTATTCTTCATATATATTCTGCTTACTCTACTGCAAATCTCTGTGCACGCCACTGCTATTACTTAGGTATACTGACTAGGTATTAGTAGCGTATGATATACATTTATTTTATAAATCAATTTTAAATTCTCAGAGAAGAGATTCTTATATCTTTCAAATTATAATATAATGATACTACAATTCATTGCACACAATAGTATATACAGAATTATTGTAGAAGCCGTAATGAGAGATTTTTATGTATAATATTGGAGATCCTATTTGTACAATGTCCTTAGACCAAAATGTATATTATGCGGTATATAAGACTTTTTAGTCTGTCTATGTCGCTATATCCATAAACGACTGAACCTGTTTAGAAATTACGTTCACTGGCCCATATCTCACTTAGTAAGAAGAAAAGTAGGATATTTTATATTTTAGAAATGGTATTTTTTTCACTAGTTAAGTGAGAAAGAATTACACATAAAGATTTATTATGTAATTTCCAACCAATTGTAGATAAACACATATTTTAACATCCAAATGATATTGGCCAGTTATCCTAAGGTACATATATGTAAGTCACTGTGTTATCTTTTTTATAAATATACTATATGTAATATATTGCATATACAAGCAGACCTTCACTTGCATTCGGTCGGACATATCACAGCTGAGATCACGCTCACATAGAGGTAGGATTTAATTTATTTTGCATTTTTTAATAAAACTAAATTATTCAGTTATTGTGTGATTTTTATTATTTTATTTTAACATTTTCCCGGCGTTTCAATTACTTTTCAACAACCGTGATCATAGCCAGACGAGTTTCTCGGGAAAAAGTAAAAATTTTGTAGTGAAAATAGGGTAGTTATTGGAAAAACTCAGTTTAATTTAAAAATGTACGCGTAATAATTTTAGATATCATTACTTTAGAATCTTCCTGTATAAAAAACCTATTTTACTAAAAATTACGTGACATCTTTTTGCATTCATACTTCTATAGTATTAAAAATATAATAACTTCAGAATAGATTATTCTACAACACCTTTAAAATAAATAACTAATATGGTTTATTTTTTAAAGAAAACAAATTAATTATTTTACGTTTCTTATTCCGTAAGATTTATCTTCTATAACCGCTTGAGGTATCCCATAACTGTATTAGGTATATCCAAGTTACTTGTACAGCGTATAATCCAAGTATCCAAGTATAATCCAAATTATAATAAGGGTGATAAAATTATACGTAACGTAGTACGTCATGTAGAAATAGTAATTTTCCTTACGTCAATAATTGCATAAACAGTCAGTAATAGAAAACTATCGTACATTTTTTGTTTATTTTTTTTCGAACCTTTGACGTATAGTTACCAAAGTAATCATGGAATGAAATCTAAGATTTTCGCGAGTACTCATTTAAATGAAACTAATATTTTCGGAATTTACTTCGCGTTTTTATATTTGATTATAAACTACATACTCCCGACGTTTCGGATACCTTTCAGCAACGATGATCACGATTACAGTAGGACCCCGATTATCCGGACCTCGGTTATCCGAATTCGCGATTATCCGGACTGCCAATCGCGACGAGATTATTCTAACACTAGCTGACCCGGCAGACTTCGTACTGCCTCAGTCAAGAAATAAATTATTTCTTAATTATGTTTTTGGAGTTTACCTTTAAGCCATAAATCTCAGTGTTCTAAAGTGCGACAAAATGATTGACATATTAGTTAGTTGTCAAATCTAATGTCAAAAAACCCGTTTGTATGGGAAATAGAAAAGCGCTGTTTTTAGGGTTTTCCCGGAAATTATTATTTTTTTCAGCTTTTATACCTTCTCTGAACCTCCGCGAACATTTCAAGACTAAGATAAAATAAATCAGTTCAGCCGTTCTCGACTTTTAGCGAGACTAAGGAACAGCAATCCATTTTTATATATGTAATATAATAATATATAGATTAACATGTCAGAACTTGCATAACGCCACGCCACTTATAACACTTATACGTACATTATGTACAATTTCTTAATAAACGTTGATTTTCGCTCATATGTATTTGTTGTTTTAAATAAACACCTAACATTACATATGTATGGTACAGACTACATATGTACATATGCAAAAAGCCCGTTTTTCTTCATATATTGGATTATCCGGACTTTCAATTATCCGGATGCCTACCGACAACAATTAGTCCGGATAATCGAGGTCCTACTGTATATTAGTTTCATTTAAGTAATAATGGAATCTACTAACATAGCGCCGTTAACAAAATTCACATTACTCTAGAAAATTTGTTACATCATGTATTCGACTAATTAAGCAACCAGGTTTATCAAATATTCGTACGATCATGTGTTATAAATAGTAATTGGGTACTGACTACTGGTTAGCCTTCAGCCTAACTTGGTTTTAATTTATCAGAAATCCTTTTTTATACATAAACCAATTATAGTCTTAATTTGAAACATGTTTGTGTTACATACATAATTTTTGTAACTAGCTAACTTTTTATATAAATGAGTTAGTTTGTAGAACGATATTTCTGTCAGCATACGAAAGATACATAATATATGAAGCACTAGAAAAATAAATGACGAATATCAATACATTTTTGATTTACGAATAATATCTTAAATAAAAAAATATGGCAATAATGAGTAGGTATGATATGTGAAAGCCATAACGGGCTTAACATAAAAAGTAGTAAAAATATGTTATAGTACTGGACTTACCATTATCAAGAAAAAAGGGAAATAGCCATTAGAGACACAATGTTCTCTTGATAATTTTATTTACTCTTAGGTACATATTATATCTCTTTATTCATCTATGCTTATTATTGTTTTGACAATTTTGCCTCACCCATTATACATTCGGGTTTTCAGATTAGAAGATTAGAAAATCTTTCATATTGTTATGTAGGTACTTAAGTATTACTTTGTGTAAACGAAGTCAATACAAATATATATCAACAAATTAAAGTCACTCTAATCTTAAATTAAAAAAACTCTTTAGTCTTATTTACTTCTTTAAGAATGAGTGCTTAAAAATGCTATAAACATTATAAAATCGTTTTAAAACTAAAGCAAAAATAAATAACGATATTTTTCTTGTCCATATATTAAATAATTGAACTTAGGTTAAGGGTTATCTTATTTCGTAATTTAAAGATAATTAGTTTTAGTAGTGGTTTTATTTTTTATCAATATGATGTTTAAGTATATGTATATTAAAGAAGCCGACAATTTATAGGAATATTTAAGAGCATTGTGAATGAATTTGTAACATGGCACAGTCATGAATATTTAGTACGTATACAATTAATTAACAATCAAATCACACTATACTGCGAAGATACTCCTTTACGTCTTTTATCACTCAATGTCATTTCAACACAAATATAGGGTATAACTCCAGAGCATTATATGACAAACACTATTTATCGAATAAAAATGTCGGAACAGTCTCATTAAAAAATATATTCAAAACAAGTTATGTAAATAAAACTCATTTATTCTATTTTCAACTATCACGTATATTTGTCGAGACAAAAATTAATATTATTTTTCAGAAAAATGGTGCTGACTCTATACGGTTTAGAGGGGAGCCCGCCAGTCCGAGCGGTGCTGATGGTGATTGAGAAACTGAATATACCAGATGTTGAGTTCATTCAAGTCGATCTACTGAAACAAGAACATAAAAGCGAATCATTTTTGAAGGTATTTACAGTGTACCTTATAGGTAGTTTATTGACTTATTATAACAAATCATAAAACATTGATACAAGCATGTGTTCGGATCATTTTTGCAGGTATTTAGGGTGAACCTAAAAGATAGTTAATTGACTTATTCAAGCAAAATATACAACATTGATACAAGCGTGTCTTTGTTATTCAAATATATTAAATATACGAAAATATTATAATAAACATAGAGCTTCACTAACAGAATGAAAAAAATTGCTTCATAGACAAACTAATCCCTATGCTGATTGGATACACTAAATTTTTTCTTAAATATGTTATTCAACGTTTCATTTCCTATTTATAATTAATATATTTTTTTTAGATGAATCCACACCACACAATACCTACGTTGAAAGACGACGATTTTGTTATTTGGGACAGGTAATAATCTTTTTCATTTACAATCAAAAGATAGTTATAAAATACTAAAAAGCAAATTCTATGTTAAATAACTTCGGTATTCAATTTATACTTTCATTAATTTATGATTACTGTTAATTAGTGCTAAAGTATTTTTATAAACTAATTATGTATATTTTATAGGGTAATTAGATTATTGAATAAATAATATAGTACAGAAACCATACGATTATTATTTTTTTGTTAAAAACTGAAAAAGCTTTTAAATTTCTATGATTGTGATTGAAAAAAATGAGGTCTAAATCTGCCATTGATTTGTCATGTTCATATGTATATTATATACTCATGTGTATAGAATAATTTTTAATATAAATACATACATTGCCTCACTACAAAACTAGAATAGTGCAGTAGACTTCTGAATAAACAGTATTATTTTTATACTTATTTATTTATTTTATATATTTCAGTCATGCTATCACGGCCTATTTGGTGTCCAAGTACGGAAAGGATAAATCTCTGTATCCAACAGAACCAAAACAACGAGCAATTATAGATCAGAGATTGCATTTTGACAGCGGCACACTGTTCCCGGTTTTACTTGAAACGATTGTAAGTGATAAAATAAAAACTGGATCATAACAGTTTTTATAATAGATTTCTGATAAATATCATATGAATATGATTTGTGTGACATTTCAAATATTTGGAGTATTTATAGTCATTTTGGTTGAAAAAAACCTAAGTCATGTATTGCAAACTTTGATATAGATAGAGAGATATTATAAGAAAAAAAATATATGTACATATATATACTAAAAACCAATACACCAAGATAAGAAGTTTTGAAACTTATGAGGAGTATTTTACTGCAAACTTTTATTGAATTTTTTAATAATATTTTATATCACATTCACAGAAACCGATTTTTTATAATGAGCGGACATCTTTTAACCCGGAGACTCTGGTGAAAATTTCAAACGTTTACGAATTGACGGAAAAGATTCTGAATTCTACGTGGTTAGCCGGTGACAATTTAACTTTGGCTGACATATGCTGTTACGCAACAATAAGCACTTTGAATATTGCTTTGCCTATAAATTCGGAAGTGTAAGTACATGATTATTTTACTTTAATATCAATATTACAAATTCATTATATAATAATTAAATTTCTAGATTTTTTTTTATATAGCACAAAAAATATTTTCTCGATAATTGGTTATTGAAGTGAAACTTCTTATGCAACTTCGAACAAGGTTCCGTTAAACGTTAAAGTTGAGGAAGAGAGAAAAAAGATTCCAAACGCATGCCCATGATATTCTATGACTTGTTGTTCTATATTAATTTATTTATAATATTCATTATTTTTTACTTTGATTTGATATACATAAAAATTATTTTCATTTCCACATTACAAAGTTTCACTTCTACTGCTTGACTTCACACACTATTTCTTAAATCATAACTATTTATTCCTTATTTCTTTTATAGATCTCCTAAGCTGTCTGCTTGGACAAAACGTTGTTCGCAGCTGGATTTTGTGAAGAAAGCTAATCTACCTGGTTTAACAATGCTCGATGAACTCGTAAAGTCAAAACTCGCTTAATCATGTAAAAAGTTTTTGTAAAATGGCATTTTGTCAACCTTGAATGCAAACAACAAAATTTCTTTATATAATTGTTATTGATATAAACACTTCTTTGTATAAATACTTTGTCTTAACACTTACTAATATAAATATGATTTTATTTACATTATAGCTATCGTTTTATATACCTTACTATGATTAAACATAGGAATTTTACGACATTCTTCTTATCATCCACCTATAAGACAGGTTTTTATTTCTAAAAATAAAAACCCTTACGATCTATAAATATTTATTATAAATGTAAAATTAACAAAGCCCCTGTAAAAGAGAATAAAATCTCTTAAAACTTTTCCTAATTAATATTGTATCATTTTGTCATAACTTTTATAATTTTCCACTATGAGCCGCATAAACTAAACTTTACATTGTATAACATTTCATTGCTAATTTTTCCTCTCATCACGAAGATAAATTATGTTACGTCTGACCTAGTGATCATTATTTATATTATTGCTACTTATATTTGGTATTTTCTATATATTTTTTATTATAAATGTTCTAGAAAGAAAATTATGCAAAAACTTCGGAAAAACTTTAAGCTATATTTTAAGAAATCCCTAAAAATCGTGCTCTGAATGTAGAAAATAAATGTTTCTCCACTTTTTATATGTATCTTTATAACAAATGTTCATAATTGTTCTTGGCTATTGAATAAATATTATATTCATATAAAAAATATTTGCTTTTCATTACAAAACCCATACAAAGAAACTATTGAATGTCTGAAATGTGACAAATTACAAAATTTATGTTGTTCTTACTGCTAACTTTTAAGCGTTTAGTATTGATTTTAGACTTGTCTATATCAACTTACTTAGTTATATATTTTTTTAAATTTTAGATCACCATTATAAGATTTTTATTTAATAATATCAATTACATTGCTAACTCAACTGATATAAAGACATTAAACTCGAATATCTTGCATTAAAATTAAATTCACTAAAAATACATGCACCGCCCTCTATGTATATATCATTTACTTTCTAAGAACTCGAATCTACTGTACTTAAAACGCCTTTTAATTCCATATAAAGCCTCTAGATGTCGTTAACTTACAAAATATTACTGCTTATCCGAAGAATGCTAATGTATGTATTTCTTTTGATGAAGTTGTTCATATGATAAATATACTATTTAAGAACGTAAAAATAATTGCCACCATTTAGTCAAAACTTTTAAATATACATAAATGTGTTAGAACCAGTTTTATTAACAATATATTGTTTAAACATAATTCGTAGTCTTTTGGATCTTAGCCATATGGATTAAATCCAAAGCTGGTTTTAACAAAGTTAATACAAATCGTATTTAAAATCCCTTTGAGTATTTAACTGTAAAGACAATAATACCTAAAATGTATAACTAATACATATATTCTTTTATACTAAATGAAAGCTGTAGAAAATATCAACTGGCATTTACTGTAACCGCGACTCACATATAATTCGATTATGTACCTACATACGTTAGATAATTATACTTTTCCTATAGAATCTATTGCTGATGGAGAAAAATGGGACATACTTCAATCAAATTTACTTAACATATTTGAAAATATTTCAAATGAATAAAACTATATTGATTGCTTTAATAATAGTGTTATTGTGAGAACAATTGCATTAAACAGAGTTAAATTTATTAAGTTGGTTGATGCGTCATTGTGCATAGGAACAATTTTTAAACCCGTTCTTGCTAGGTATATAAACATTATTAAAAAATTTCATGGTATAATAAAAGTAAATGCGCGCTTAACACTCCGTGACTTTGCTTTAACACGATACTGTATCAGATTAAAGGTTATATTTATAGCTTGTCGATGCCAATATTCCGTATAAAAACAGTTATAGGAATACTTATTTCAACAAACATGAAATTTTATTATTACTGTTCGCAAACAAGAGCAGTCACGGCTCTTAATAACATTAATGCCAAAAATAGCAACAATTTTATCTTTATCATAATAATATTAAGTAAGTAACATATTTGCTTTTCAGATTATTTTTATTTCAATTCTGCTTACAATCTATTTTCATCAGCCAAAAATTTTGGCTTTTCTTATTTGTTAGTGAAAAGATTATGTTAAATTTAAATTAAGATAAAGGTATTCTAATCTATCCAAATTCTGTCCGAAAAAGATTGGTGAAAGTGATTTATGAGTAGATAACAAAGGATGATACACAACGCCTATAAATACATGTCTGGATAATACATTCCAAGAATAATATACTTAGAAGTTTTGTCTGCTATTCTAGTACATTACACGCTGAAACTCAACATAATTTAAATAATGTTAGATATTATACAACATAAATCAAGCCTATGTTTCTTACAAAATCTACAAAAGCTAAGTTTTTGAAATAAAATCTTATAATTTGCCTATTTAAATTTAGTATGCATAAAATCTAAAAATCAATTGTTTCCAAAATGAATTTTAATTTAATTTCTCTCGTACTTGAGAGTTTTAAAGAGTTTTCGAATTAAAAAGGAAAAATGTATTATCCTCTTTTTATAAGATTAATAGTTAGGAACAAATAAATAGAAAAGAATTTTTAAAACCGTACACAGCAACAAGCATGAGAAATAATTTTGCAAATAGTAATACTTTTCATAATAATTTATATTCCTTATATAATTTATTTTAATACATTGATAAGTAGTTTATAATTAGTCTGGTTCGTATTATATACAGATAATTATTGCCAACCTTATTTCATCGTAATATTTCCATGGTAATAAACATGACAAACGAGTACAGATAGTGGTAATGACAATAATTTAGCATGATATAAAAAACAATATACGATCTCTTTACACCTCGTGACTTTTGCTGTAACACAAAATACTATATAACGTAGGATTTCGTTGCAATGGTTGGACTATCAGATTAAAGGTAATATTTATTGCTTTCCGATGCCAATATTCCGTAAAAAGCGGTTATATATACACTGATTCAGATATTAACGGTTGCTGTGGAACTGAGTGTTTTCAGTTGCATTTATGTACAATATTAAAATTACTTATATGAAGAAGGTATAATTTCGTGTAAACAATAATGTTATAAAAGTCATTTTCTTTTTCATATATTAAGTAAATTTTTCTATTGAAGTTGAATACATATTCCTAAAATTTTTCATTTTTACCGTTGCTTACACAATAATAATTTAATTTAAATGTGTTTCGTATCTTTACAAGCCTATGATGTCATTTTAAAACCCTAATACATACCAGTAGTAAATTAAATGTAAAAATCACTACAATTAAAATGAGCTATAAAAATTATAAGGGTAAATATATAATCAGAACAAATTTTCTTCCTTAATCATTACTTCATTTCATAATTTAAGGTGAAGATCTGGTGAAGGTCGCGTTAATCCACTGGATGCGGGTTGCACAAGACCGGTCGTCGTGGAGATCCTTGGAGGAGGCCTGTCCTGCAGTGGACGTCTTTCGGCTGAAATGATGATGATGATAATTTAAACATAAATATTTAAGAAAAAACATTTGTTGTACCCTTTACTACCCACTGGGTGGGTGAGATGACATTAGTTCTTAATCACATTTTATATCTTTATATATATAATTCTTCTGTGAGTGTGTATGTCACTGAACTTCTCTCAAACGACTGGACCGATTTTGATGAAATTTTTTGTGTGTGTACAAGGGGATCTGGGAATAGTTTAGATTCACAATTTTGTCTGCTGGACAATGTTTTTTTAATTACTTTTTAATTTATTAGTAGTTCTTGATACAAACTTTTTTTTTGACATTAGATATGTCAATCATTCTGTCGCACTTCCAAACACGGAGATTTATGGCTTTAATAGGTAAACTCCAAAAATATAAATAAAAAAACGTAACAGATATTTCTTGATTATAGGGCGATACGAAGTTCGCCGGGTCTACTAGTGTATTATAAAACTTGAAATTGTAACAAAAGAATAATTCGTTTCAACAAAAAAAACTTGTAGTTGTATTTGTCAGAACATTAAGATAAATTAGGATATTTCGATCATGTTTAATTTAGATTTGTATATTAAACTAGCCGACCCGGCGATCTTCGTATCGCCCTTCGTATCAAGAACTATCTGTTGCGTTTTTATCTGAATGAAGTTAATTTCCTTATTAATCTGAATCACTCAGTTTCTACTTTTACATACATATCAACAGCATAATGGTGAAAGAGACACCAACATTTTAAGCTGAGATTGACCTCAACTTCTTGAACCATAAGCCTGTATGAATAATAATTAATTGAACTAACTTTTTTGTTAGTTTCGGAACCTAAAAGCATTTTTTTGAGTTAAAATTATATAAATTACTTAAAGCTATGATAAACATTAAAAACTTAAATTTTTTATTCACCTGTAACTGTGTTTGATGTGTTTTGGACACACCCTGCAGTTGATTGTTACACCGGTGTAAAACAATATTGCGGTTATCCACATTTTCACCCACAATGACAATAGCGACTTCATCGATTGTTTGGGCATTAAAATGTCTTGTGTTTGATAACATTTTTGTGATTATCAGATGGCATATGATCTAATGCGGTCTTGACTAATGCAAGCAATGGGTTGTGTCCATGGAATAATAATTGTAACTGCTCCACAACTGGTCTTTTCACAGAAAAGTTATGTGCACAACGCTGATCAACTTGTCTTCCTGAATCACCCATGAAATTAATTTGGAAAAATTTATAGTTACTGACCGGCACTGGTAATAATTAATAAGTTCTATGATATATTTGTCCTTGAATCTGCAAAGGTAAACATTCCTGTATTACATATACATAACATTGTAAAGTGAATTGTTCAAACCACCAAGTGACACTCAAAATAATTTGTGAGCACTACCATTTCCCCCATCAACTTTTTTAACACAATTCCTTCTGGCTAATAAAAGTAATTCACAAAGCTACAAATGTACTTTAAGCCATTTCAAATGATACACCA